ATTCTGCCTGTAGGTGTGAGTGTCTTGGCACTTTTAAGTAGAAAAAACATCTATGAAAACAGGAACGTTGGTTGCTCCCTGTTGAGTTTGAACCACGTCGTGTTTCTCATTGTATACCAGAACACAATACATGTACGATATAAACTGGAAGTAACTTAGGAATTGAAAAATATTCTTTTTGAATTTAACAAGAAGCAAGAAGATGTCCTTTTCCTACAGACTAGCAATTTTTCTTGAAYCCAGGTGAATGGAATCCTTTGATATTTGCCATCTAAACTMCCTTAGGCCTCGTTTCCATTTTCAATTCACTTCCAGCTTACGTCTCTTAAATAACAGGGGCACTTCTCAACTTGTCAGAAGATACATTCGTAGCTCGCGCCAGGTGCTTGAAAGGTCACACATCAATACCGAGAGGTTGTTCATCTTGCAAGGCATCCTTACACATCGTTGTCACCAAAAGAAATTCAAAAATAACAATAATAAGTGATATTAGCTTTGTTATATTTGTTAATGAATTTTTAAGTAACCAGATAGCACCAATATCTTATTACCTATCACGTGGCAACTACCACAAGCAACTTCTCATTAGTCGTCATTTATAGTTTATCGCTTTATATACTTATCATTATATATAAACCCTGTACTGTTTTGTTATATTTTATTATGTCTGCAAGAAGCAAGGAATGTCCAGGTTGAAGGGAACCGAAATCAACCCTCTCATTTGTGACTCCAGGGAAACACTGTGAGGGGCAACCACCATCTCGTCCTTCACCAGTGGAGCAAAAATTTGAGTTATCTAACATGGCTACGGCGATTCGTCAATCCCTACGAGGCTTATCAAACCAATTTCAACAAAATGAACTCAAAGACAAAATGCTCAACTTGAAAGCTCAAAAATAAACGCTCAAACACTACCTGGTACTCACGACATTGCACCACAACACAAACAGCAACAGGAACACCCCGTAACAGAAAAACAAGAAAAGGCAATAGCTAGCGGTTAAACAAGTGGATTGCAGTGACGAGATCAAAGATTATCCAAGTATTACGTATTCCGATATTATCAACTACTTCKTCATTCAAACCTCGTGRAAGACTGGCCAGGAAATGRAAGCTTGGAAGTCCCTAGACACCTATAACTTCTTCATCTCTGGATGGTTAAATTCTATTCTCACAAAATCGGTACAAGGAAGTGACAAAGTGGTTGTAACAGCTCGAGTAAACCACACTCAATGAGCACATGATACCATTGAAGACCTGGCTTCTTGCTGGAAAGGATGGCAGTGTTTGTTTCGCTTATTGCTGGACTATTGTGACTGGCATACCACAACATGGTCGTCGAAGAGCTGATGTACCACTGCACAAGAAATATCGGAGTTCTTTCAGAACATTTCAGGATGTGGAATAAACCCAGCAATTCCRTCCTTGGTTCCTCCCTACAATGGGAAGTATGTTCCAAAACATAAACCAATACTGACATTACCCTTGACCCATCTTTTTAACAAGGACAATATAGAACTTAATTTTCAAGAACTAAGTGTAATGAAGTTATTGAGGAGCTTAAGATATCTTGTGATGAAGTAGCAGCTATAGAGTCCTCCACCATATCTCAGTCTTCTTCCAAGGACTGGTTTGAATAGAGAGCAGGGAGTAACTGCTTCTAAGTTTAAGGCAGCATGTTCCACAAACCAAGAAAATCCATCCAGAAGTTTGATTAAAGCTGTATTCTACCATGAGGCACACAAATTCTCTAGCCCTGCTACTAAATGTAGAGTGAGCAATGAAAGTGTTGCAAGGGATGCCTACTTTGCTGTGGCAGGTGAACATGTCAGTTGCAGGATGGGGGTTACACATCAATGAAAAGTGGCCATATATAGGTGTTTCACCAGATGGCTTGGTCTTTTGTGACTGTTGTGGAAATGGCATCTGTGAAATTAAGTGCCCACACAAACACAGAAATTCACAAATTAATGAAGCAGTTTCATCAGACCCACAATTTTGTCTGAAGTTTGATACAGTCAGTGACAAGATAACACTGAGTAAATCACATGCCTACTACTTTCAAGTTCAGTGCCTAATTTTTGTCAATGGAGTAGAATATTGTGACTTTGTTGTATGGACAAATAAGGGTATCTTCATCGAACAAATACTGCCAGATAGAGACTTTTGGGGGAACTGTCTTGAAATTGTAAATATTTTTTTTTCTAAGGGGAGAGCTGCCCGAATTATTAGCCAAGTACTTCTCACGAGCAACAGTACAAGAACAATCTAGAGAGTCAAGTGAAGAAAGTGAAGATGATGGGTCATGGTGCTTTTGTCAGTAGGCTATTGAGGACAGTTGCCTTTTTGCATGTGACAACACCGAATGCCCTACACAGTTGGATTAAATGAAGTACCTGAAAAGTGGTTCTGTTCAACTTGTTCACAATAATATTGACGTTATAGACTGATTCCTCAATAGGTAATAAAGATTTTCACAATAGCTTAATATACACGAACCATACATTGGATTATATGTACATACAGAATGTCAAGAAGACATGCAACTGCTAAATAAAATGACACGAACACTTGAACTGTTTTTTTTTAATTGATATATTAAAAAATATTTTACAAACACCATAAATTACAGACATATTACACTTAGTTACATTATACATTTACAATTAAGGAGAAGAACACCATAGGTCATCTCCTCTAGATTCTCTTAACATAAAGTAGAAAATAGACTAATTGAAATAAACTAATAACAAAACAAAGGTACATGAGAAAAGAGATGGCTATATAGGCTATGTCTTAGATAATTTTGYTGTTTGAAATTAATTAGACAGAGCACGTATAATTTTCTCCCATTTCTACTTGAACTGTATTATTCAATAACTAATTATTATTGCATGTCATCAATCAACGTGTAGCAGAAACAATAACTTACATAAGAAACAATAACTTACATAAGAACAAAGTTATCCTTTGAGATCATCAAATCTATTAATTTATGTATACGTGGTTCACGAGTCCCCTTTTACAAGAACAATGACTTTTTATTCAATTTTAAATTAAATGTAAACTCTGCAGATATTTGAATTAGTTTTTATTTTTTTTTGTAAATAATAGGACGTTTCTTTAGTAAATTATTTAATGTAAGTTTCATTCTTTTTACTAATTAATTAATGCATAGTTATATTTATAAATTTTAATCGTTATCATTATTATTGTAAATTTAATAATTTTAGTATTTTTTTTTTTACTTTTTTCTATATTGTAATTTTTAGAATTTTTATATAATTATTATTAATTGTGAAATTATTTGTGAATAAAGCTTAATGATTAGTCTATCAACATGTAGATTCACTATAGTGATAACAATTTACTTGCGGTAGTCCTAATGTTAGCCTTTTCTTGCATTTACAATAGCGTAAGAATTTATTCATTTCCTATTTACGAAGCTGAGAATTTAGTATCAGTTTTAATAGCACATCCTGACGAACCTAGTTTAGTGTAGTCTCAGAAGTCAAACGGAGAGGAGAAACAACGAACGGAGAATACTAGCCTTAAAGCCTTCTTTAAGTAGCTATCCAATCCCGACAAAATCAGACGTAAGTGTATTAGTTTTTTTTTCATATTTTATAGATGTTATGTCAATGTAAGTTAGCAAGAGAAGTTTGTAGTAATTGAAGTGATTTTACGCATTCTAGTTTTAACCGCAAGTGAGTCAACGTGTATCAGGCAGTTCGTTATGCTAATAAACACTAATACCCCTCCCGACTCTAAGGTGTCTGCGACATCGGGAATGTGACAGTAAGTTCTAACAAATGCAAGAGGCCATCGGTTGGGGGGATCATGGGGGATCCTGGTTGTGGGAAGACCAAGGCAGGGAATGTTGCCATTGCATGCACTAGTTCTTTCCCACACCARTTCTACAATCTCTTTACGGATGCCTTTATGGGGCAGCTCGCTAGCAGCACATCAATGGGTGTCCAAGCAGACGACCCAACTGATCCGCAGGAAGTTGGYAAGGCTGCCAAACGATTTTTCTCTGATGGCTCGCAGGGAAACTGTCATGGGGAGACATTGACAATGTGTTCTCCAGTGTTCACTGTGAACGAACATGTTCTGACATGGTTGCAGCACCCTGACCGAGACAGGTGTGAGGAAAATGATTTCCTTGAGAAAATGTTATTTGAATGAATACAAATTATAATGTATTTATTATGGTGATCGCACTGAATTTAGAAAAGAGCACATTAAGTTCACAATTCTAGACCTGTGCCTATAGCAGCATTATGATATTTTCTAAAGTTAATATGAAGTAGTCTTATTATCAGTCCAATAATGTTTTTCTATTTGCCTATTTTTCAAGTTGCTACAGCTTAATTTTTGTGATAAAATCAGTATCGGTGAAACATCTTAGTAGAGACCATGAAGCAATATGGACGTGTAAGATCATTGTTAATTTTTTTTTTTTAATTTCTTTTCAGGTTATTGGAAAGAATACTTCTCATTAAATGTGAACCTGCTCATTCCATGGCGGATGAATCTTCCAAGTGGGATGGCAGGTTCACATCCTTGTTGAATGAAGTCTCCAGTACTGTTGGAGAGATCATAAAAATAGGCCAARAAATCCATACTTCTTCCGGCAAAGAGTTCTACTCCTGTTGTGAGAAGATAGTAAAGGAATCAATTTGCAATAATCGTCAAAAATTTGGACATGTGCTCTCTTCTGCATGAGAAAGGTAACTTTTGTAACAGCTATTTTCATTCTCACTGATGAATTAGTCGAGGAGATAGCAACTCACACCAATGGGTATGCATTTTCCCATATAACTAATGSTAAGAAGTTATATTACACAAAATCAGATGGGAGCTGGCAAGAAACAACAGCATGTGAGATAAAAAGGCTCATGGCTTTACTTATTTACTTTGGTCTTGTCAAAGTAAGTACTTTTGATCGTTATTGGAGTACCAAAACCATATATCATGGGCTTTGGGCTCGTTYAATTATGTCTAGGGACAGATTTAGTGCTCTAATGGCAATGATTCATGCTGTGGACTCATCTGCGGAAGGGGTTGGGAAGTTGGGAAAGGTACAGTCTTTTATTGATTACTTCAAAGATAAATGCACAAAGCTGTATCAACCTTCGCAACATATTGCAATTGATGAGCGAATGGTAAAATCTCGACACAGGTCTGGGATCCGCCAATACATAAAGGACAAACCAACCAAATGGAGGATAAAACTATGGATTTTAGCAGACAGTCTGAATGGGTATACATACAATTTTGATGTATACATTGGTCGTGATGCTGCTAGAAATGTTAGTGAGCATGGTCTTGGCTATGATGTTGTCATGAAACTAATTGATCCATTGCTTCATCAGGGATATCATTTGTTTATAGATAATTTTTATACATCAATGCAACTTGTAAAAGATCTTTTTCAGCTTGGTGTAGCAGTCACTGGTACTGTATCTGAGAACTGGAAAGCTTTTCCAGAAACACTCAAAAATGGGAAACAGTGGGCTAAGAAAAAGGAAAGGAGGGTTATGCGGTGGGAAAGGGTTGGTCCGGTATTGGCATTACAATGGAAGGATAACAAGGTAGTTTCCATGTTAACCACTATTGATAATGCCAATGACTCAGTACAGGTACCCAGGAAAGCAAAAACAGACAATGTCTGGAGAAATATTCTTGTTCCACAGCCACTGACCATAAAACGGTACAATGCCTACATGAATGCGGTTGATCGCTCTGATCAAATATTAGCAACTAATAATGTCATSAGAAAATGTATGAGGTGGTGGAAAACCTTGCTTTTTCATGTAATTGATATTGCTGTTGTAAACAGCTATATTCTATCTTCCTGATAATAAAGCTCTTCAACGGTCAGCCAGGTATTCGCTCTTAGATTACAGGGAAGAGCTGCTACTGCAACTGTGTGGTCTACCTGAGTATGGTTTGCCACCTATTGATACTAGAGTTAAACCAGTTGGGGATTATGAACTTGTTCATGTTCCTATGTATTCACAGGAGGTTAAAAGGAACTGCAAACTTTGCTATAAAAAGGAAAAGAAAAGCTTGCAAGTATTTTCTTATTGCAGCGCTCCTCAATGTCAGGTATTCCTACATATATCCAAGGACCGAAACTGCTTCAAAGAATGGCATACCAGGGAGTTCCACCAAGACAAATGATTTTTCTTATGTTCCCACTGTTTTATTACAATTTACTCTATTCATGTCTGTATAAATTCAATTTTAGCAGCCGAAAGTAAATTTTGCGATTTTATGCATTTTCAAGTTCCTTTAGGAAAAAAAACATAAATTTCATTTTTTGCATTCAATTCAATCCAGAACTCCCAGAAAGTTTGCATATACATCAATGCAACTTTTTTCTTTGGACACTTTGATATCCTTCAATTAGAAAAATATATATCTTAATTTTTGTGAAATTTCATGAATAATATATGCTAATTTATGCAAACATATGATGTAATTAATTACTTAATTAGAGTTATATAAGCAAACAAAATATTTTATCAGAAAGTACATCTATTCAGCTTTAAAATGATATGTATATATATGCATGTACGAAAATAACCTTTGAGTATTAAAAATATTTAAAGATATACCTATTTTTGTCAGATTTCGGGTCAGTAGGGAATKAGTTAATATCACTCAGTAGACACTAAGGAATGTATACACAAAATATTACAATTTTGTCACTTGTGTAACGATCTGATAATTTTTTTTTTTGCTACAAGCCACCAGACTATAACAACCTTGATGGCGCATTCCGTTTGTGCTACTTGGATCTGGTAGTAGTACAATAGACAGGCTAGTGAAGTCCCTACTCACTTCTGGGACCACTGCGAGTTCCCGTTTTAAGAGCCATTGAAGAGGAAAGTGTGAAATGCATAACAATTCCGATATTCAAAAAAAAATTAAGAGAGGGAAATCAGTGGCAATTGACCATTAGGTATATCGTTCCTTGAAAAGTTAAAAGTTGGACAGGGATACAGATGGCCTAAAAAAGATAATATAKCAATGSTGCTTAGACATCAAGTTTTCGTCAAGGAACTTAAGGCCACTGTAGACCCTTCCAAAACCCTTTTTTAACGAGGATGAGTTACTCGCCGATTTTCGGAAATGCATTGCAAATCCCACAAGACTGGAACGTTACTCCAAGGTAAATARCACAATGGGTTTAATGCAAAACTTGAACAAAATCAAGTCTCCATCGAAGTTTCAAGATATAATTTAATTCTTTACTAATCATATAGGTCGATGCGATGTGGGAGTGCGCAGAAGCCCCATTGAGAAAAATYGCTCTAGTAACCTGGAAAGATCTGAAGACACTACAGCTGGATATGCCTCCAGTACACCAGTACCTTATGACTAAACAACTGCTCTGTAGAAGGAGTTGGTGTTAAGAAATATTGTTAGCTCAATTTGGAGCACAGATTAATGATTAACTTAATTTAGWTTTATGGTTAGAATCAATAAGTAAACACTACTACTATGAATTGATATGAATGACAAGTTTAGTCAAAGTCACCATATTTTGCAACATATGAATGTAAAACTAGTAATACCAGTATAACGATTGTGAAAGAAGCTTAGAATAAACCTCGAGTATATGATTGTAATAGTTAGATACACATGAGCTACTGAAGAATAAAGGTGTTCTTTGGAGAACGTTGTATTGTGAACCAGCAAGCAGAATCCGGTCTGCACACATGGGATCATCAGGTTTTATAAGAATTTCGATGGGTCCCTTCTGTTCTTTTAAGTCTTGATAAACTTGGAATTAATTTTTGTCTCATGAGGTTACTACTTGGTATGAATAAAAACTKATAGGTTATTGCTACAAACTAGTGAAGTGTACTGCAGATACAGCAAATATATGATTGCCATTCATATTCGCGGCCACGAAGCTTCGACTTCAGAACCACTGAATCCWTCTGTTGCATTGCCAAAGGAATTAACTTCACAATCTAATAAGCCCAAGTCAAAAAAAGAAGAAGGATAGCCCCACTACAGAGGAATCTACAGTTCCAAGAAAAAAAAGATGTGGTATATTCACAGAATATTTGKCTCAGAAATTTCTGGGACTTACAACGTTAACATAAGCTGTACTTCTCTGGCAGATCTATCTACTTTACAATTCTGTCAAAATGTTGCATTTGAAACAATTTTGGAAAAGATAAAGGATCTGCAGTGAATGTTGATACCTTTGAATTGAAATTTTATTATTTTTTCAATTTTAATGACATCACACGTAATAGTCCAAAAAATACACACTTCTTGCTTGTACTGGAGCTTGTTTACTTTGTTTCACACACACAATAGACAACAATGATAACAATCGTGACATGACGAAGATATGCAACTTTACCAGTTTAAACTTCCAAACAACCCCTTTCACAGTAGAAGAGAACCATAATATTAACTGTGATGAAAACAGAAAAGGAGGAAATGCATAAACATCTAGACTGGATTGTTGAGCTTGTCAAAGATCTTGGAAGGGAAACTACAAAAACTACATTTTTTTCCAATACCAGCCAGGCTGCATGTGTCCAAATTTGCACCATGTCACGTCAGCAGATTTTTCAAGCGCTTCTTGAGCATTCGTGATGACAAGTGAGAGAAAAACGTAGTTTGTCAGCAGTATCATTGTGGAGCTTGAGAGGAATCCATTTTGAAAAGGGGATCATTTTCTACAGTTTCATGTCTTTTTGAGATAACCAAGATATGCGCATGTTGAAAAATTGTTGGGTTTTTTTTTGCTCATGCATATGGCATTACTTTGAAGCTAGTTACTTCGATGGTGTTTAACAATGAAAGTGTTTTTTGCTTTGTGAAAATTGTTTTAAAAAGTACTGAACTCTGAATATTTCGTTTCGAACTTTTTATAAAATTCATGGGCAGTTTAAGTGCTACTACAATAAGTGGCCCAACACACCACTGCACAAAGTCAAATACCACCYATACTTTAGGTCCCAAGACCACACCCTCACTTAGAAATCTACCCCAACCCCACCATGACCGCCAAATCCAACTCTACAAGACAGCAACAGCCTCTTATTGACTTYTACACCGCAAGAGAGCCATAGTCCCTGATGGACATCAAAACCAACCACCCTCCAAGGTCAGGCCACAAACCCATAAAATGAAACACATTTACCCCCATAATAGCATTSTCCGACTCACCACCACACRAAAACACTCTAGACACCCACCAACAGAAAACRAAACGSCCACAAGAAATTCTTTATCCAACTCRGACACTCAGCCACACACACTAATTCAGTTGTCAACCTCACTAAGTACCCACTAACCAAACCCCAGACTCAACTACTACATCGAGTAATTTAGTAATTAATTAGTGATTTTGCTTATATTAAAAGCAGTTGCTATTTATTGAAATAGATCTACTTTAAGTCATCCCACTTTTTCTTTACCCAATAGCTAAAACGCAAAAAGGAACTCAAAGAGCAGATGGCGATTAAACTGGAAATACACATTACCAATAGTACATTATAAACAATTATGTATGCTATGCACTTAATACATAACAGTACCTCCTTAACTGTTTGAACTCCACCTGTCTAACATAGATTTATGAGATCTATTTTCTATATTTTTCAAGAATTTGTACCGTGCGTACGGTTCTAAATCTTCGATTTCTTGATTTTACACCCTAGAGCCATTGTATTGTGGTACGAGAAGTTTTTAAGTTTAATAAAAAGTACTGATTTAGTACAAAAACACAAGAAGTATTTAGTGTTTTATAGATTGAATTACTTAATTAAGTGAAGTGTTACAGCACTTCAAATTGCAATGGGTATTTTCRACAAGCCCACTCCTGAAGACAAGGATTAAGGTATAATAATCTAGCACTCAAGCACTCCCTTGAAGTTAAAGCTGTCATCACAARCCTACACCATGTGCTATCGGAASAGCACCTATCGGCAAAGCATCAGACAATTTAAGTGACCCCAGGTTATATAGAGCAATTTTTGGGAGCTTAATTTTCGTAATGACAGGTACTCGACCTGATTTGTGTTATGCTGTGACTAAACTATCACAAAAGATGGCTAACCCCACACATGCGGATATCTAAAAACTCTAGCCTTATCCACTTCTGAGTACATTTCATTACCTAACGCTGCTCAAGGGGCAAAATTTCTGAAACAGCTTTGTAATGACATGGACATTGAGTGTCAAAATGTCTTAATTAATGTAGATAATCAGGGTGCAATCAATCTAGCTACGAACCCAGTCAATCATCAGAGATCTAAACATATTGACATCAAATATCATTTTATAAGGTCAGAAATTCAGAAAGGGATT